CTCAGGAGGCTGAGGCAGGAGGATCACTTGAGTTCGAGTTTGAGGCCAGCCTGGGCTACATAGTGAGACTCTAACTAAAAAAAAAGTTATGGCCCAAGGAAGATGCCAGACTGTGCTCACTGAATCTCCTGGTGGTAGAACAGTACTCCCTGGCTCAGGGACTACCCCAGCATATGTTTTGCAGGAGAGCCTACATAGTGGTTCCTTCACTCAGGAGTCAGGTTATTGGTATCAGCACTACCCTTTCTTAGATGTTTTTGTCTGATAAACTGTAAACTGTCTCTGTTTCCAGAACAGAACTCATAATTCTTTTTTTTTTTTTAACCCATAACTCTTTTAAGAAAAGAAGGCAGGGCCGGAGATTTAGCTCAGTGGTTCTGCCGCCTGCCTTGAAAGCACAAGGTCCCGAGTTCGATCCGATACCAAAGAAAAAGAAAAAAAAAAGAAAAGAAGGCAAACCAATCAACCTAGAATTCAAACCCTTTTCCTCCAGGCCAGAGTCAAGGACCAATAAAGAAAGACAGTCTCTCTGCCTGTAGCATTTCCACACCCGCAGAGTCTCACACACTTATTCTTTCTGCACTCCAGAGTATGTGCATGCAAGCATGTGCTTGTAGAGACAGAGTGGGAGGAAGAGAGGGAGAGAGAGAGGAAGCTGGGGAGGGGGGGGGGGGCGGGCAGGGGGAGAAACAGACACGCGGGGCGCCAATTTGAAAGAATTCCTCTGTAGATATATGTGGGAGTGGTAAAAGGTGGGATAAATTTTTCCCAGGCTGGAAGTACAAGCTGCAGATTTCAAACTAAGAGGAAATAAAGAAGAAACTTTCAGTTGCATGCTCACTGGAAAAAAGTCAGGACTTTATTCTTTCTTTTGTGGTACTGGGGATTTAATCCAGGGCCTTTGCACTGAGCTACATGCCCAGCCCTTTTAAAAATTTTTTGAGACGGAGTCTTGGTAAGTTGCCCAAGCTGGGCTGAACTTGCACTCTTCCTGCCTCAGCTTCTTAGAGTGTTGGGACTTCAGGCACACACTACCACACTTGGCTAGGACTGACTTCTGAGCAGTAGTGAGATATGCCTTACCATTAACCTACCAAGAGGGAAAGGACTACACACAAACTGTAATGGAACTCTAACTGCACTCAGTTGACAACAAAAACATTCTTTCTTGTGCCGAAAGCATCCACTTCTATGGACTAGGGCAGTGATGGCGAACCTTTTAGAGATGAGTGCCCAAACTGCAACCCCAAACCCATTTATTTAGTAGTTTTGTTTTGTTTTTTTCTGGTACCGGAGATCGAACTCAAGACCTTGTGCTTTTGAGGTAGGTGCAGCACCACTGAGCTAAATCCCTGACAAAACCCACTTATTTCTTGCAAAGTGCCAACACTGCAATTAAACCTGAATACTGAGGTTTTAGTTTAGAAAAAACAGCTGTTATCTGATGCTTGGCTGCTGGGGGGACTTGGCTCTGGTGCTGACAGAGAGGGCTCTGCCTGCCCACTGTAGCACTCGTGCCATAGGTTTGCCACCACTGGACTAGGGCAAGATAAAATTTTGAAGCTGCCAAAAGGAGGGCAGCTCCACTGCCCCTTGAGGCCTCCCAAGAGGCTCAGTGAAACCTCTCTCACTTCCTAGGAGTAAAGCTATTTTCTTCTTTTAAGACTTTATTTTTATCACAGGAGCTATTTGTCTGACTGTTCTCATGACTCAGGGGGTTGTCTGGATTCTGGCAATGGCCTATTATAGAGAAGCTGAAGCCCTCCACACCACCAAGCCAGATTCACTGAGCTACTGGCAGGCCAGTGAGGAAGTAAGGGATTACCACGGAGGAATTGCAAACACACCTACCAAACAAGATTGTGCTTTCAAAGATTGTCTTATTTGGCCTTTTATCTGGCCTTATTCTCAGATTTGAGCTATCTGAAGTAGAAATATCTGAGATAGTCAGACACTTGCTTTTCAGGCTTCCTAAGGATATGAACATTTACCTTTAACCCAAGAAAAGTTAGCAAATGTCAGTCAGGGGATACAGCCAGGCCTCAAAGGTCAAATGGCTGACATGGGAATGGAAAGCCTAGAGCTGACACATGAGCAGGCAGGAACACACCACGCTCAACATAGATGTTTTGAGCACTCACACTGGGAAGACAGAGGAAAAACAGGAATTACTGGACATATGAGCAGAAAGTAGTCACAACAACAAACAATTTCACCTATGAGAGAAGGAAATTAGGCAAAACTGTCCAAAGCTTGCTGGACATAGTGGCTCACACCTGTAATCCCAGCACTTGGGAGGCTGAGGCAGGAGGACTGCCATGAGTTCGAGGCCAGCCTGGGCTACATAGTGAGTTCAAGGGCAGCCTGCACTACATAGGGAGACCCTGTCTCAGAAAAAAAAAGTGCAAAGCTTGACCAGCGGTGTTTGATAATGTATCAAATCTTCATGGAAGTAGAGTTGGTTAATTTTTTTTTGAGACAGGATCTCAGGCTGTCCTTGAATTCACTATGTAGACCAGGCTGGCCTCAAACTCAAGGTGATCCTTCTGCCTTGACCCCTTCTTCCTTCCCAGTGTTGGGGATTATAGGCATGGACCACCATGCCTAGGTAGATTGGTAAATTATTGACCATGAAAGGGTACCTTATTTCTGGAACATCTCTCATATCTAAAGGTCTACATTTCATTAAACATTCTACTATGCCCAAGACAGGACTAGTTATGATTTAACCAAACAAAACAACATAGTGAAATCCAAAGAAAATTTTAAAAGTGAGAATCAAGGCTGGTGTGGTGGCACATGCTTGTAAATCCCAGCACTCGGGAGGCTAAGGCAGGAGGATCACTGGAAGTTTGAGGCCAGCCTGAATTACATAGTGAGACCCAACAAAAAATAAAAAAATTTTTTAAAAGTGACAATCTACAACTCTAGTAGAAAGATGAAAGAAAATAAATAAGCTGGGCATGGTGGTACACACCTGTGAACCCAGTACTCAGAAGGAGCCTGGTATGGTGGTACATGCCTGTAATCCAAGCACTCTGGGAGGCTAAGGCAGGAGGATCACAAATTGCCAGGGCAATTTAGCAAGTCATTACCTCAAAAAAAAAAATTTAAGAGGGCTAGGGATATAGCTCAGTCCTAAGGCCCTAGGTTCAAATACAGGGAGGAGAAGAGGAACAAACTAACCAACCAGCCAGGGTGGGATCTGTGTGAGGAGGTACATGGAGGGCTGTTTTAGTACTTGGGAAGCAGGCAGCCTGATCCCCAAGTCTGTATGTAGCTCCCATAGGAATGTCTGTCCCTGGGGTTCCTAGGCTGTATTTTTGCTTTGTTTTGAAGTACTGGGGATTGAACTCAGGACCTTGCGTTTGGGAGGCAGGTGGCAGCAAAGCTGAGCTAAATCCCCGGCCTGTTTTGTTTTTCTTTTTTTTTCTTTTTCTTTTTTTAGTACCGGGGATCGAACTCAGGACCTTGCACTTTCCAGGCAGGCAGCAGAACCACTGAGCTAAATCCCCGGCCTGTTTTGTTTTGTTTTTTAGACAGGGTCTCACTGTGTAGTCCATGGTGGCTTTGAACTCCTGGTGATCCTCCTGCCTCAGCCTCCCAAGTGCCGGCATAACAGGAGTGCGCCACCATGCCCAGCTCTTTCTTTTTAAAAGAGCTATTAGGCAATGTCTTCCTTCCCAGCCTTTCTTCCCAAATTCCCTACACTTCACAGTTCTGCTGACAGCACTTCTCACTCCACCCTAAGTTTCTTCTCTACCACTTGTTTCTACACTGCCTCCCAGGTCTTCCCACGTGGGCCCGCGTCTGTTTATCCAGGCTTCTCGACAAACTCGGCTCCTTGCCTTCGCGCTCTCTCCGGTACCCTCGCTGCTTCTCCCTGTCCTGTTCTCTTTGCTCTACCCTAGCCGTACCCGGACCCCACGAAGGAACCTCCTGTGCCCGTTCCTCTCCGTCCTCATTCCTCTGCCTCGACCCACCCTCCCGCCTTTTGAAGACCCTCAGCTCCCTGCTACCTTCTCCCCAACACCGGGACCTCGGGCCAAATTCCACCCATCAAGTTTTGGTCCCTAGTGCCCAAGCCCACCCCCAGCCCACGATTCCGCACGCTTCACGCCCAAGCCCCTCAGGCCCCGCCCCTGGAGGCAGAGGCCCCGCCCCAGATTGGCCTAAGCCCCACCCCTCACTTACCTGAGGCGTCTCCGCGCGCAAGGTTTCGAGGTTGGGGGAGGGAGGACGGTGTTGCGGAAGAGGGGGATAGGGCGGATGGGGTCCCCCACTCTGGCCCGGGTGGTCCAGTGCGGGGGGGGGGGGGGGGTGGGGTCACTGAGGTGGCAGTAGCCAGTCCGGAGCCGGGACCCGGGCACTCAGTGGCGGCGGCTCCATCTCTATCAGCGGCTTCACCTGAGGGACCAACCCCCCCCACCCCCCCATCAAATTCTCTCCCCCCAACAACGACTTCCGGTCCCACTACCCGGCGACAGGCAGCAGGGCCGAACACCGAGGGCCCCCAAACCGGAGAGACTGCTGGAACTAGGGGAGAGTAGCCGAGCGCCGAGAAACCTTCACGTCTAAAAGGCGCTGTTCTCCCCTGAGGGTAACTCAGACAACCACTTAGTAGACATCTAATCTGCAAACCAGGGACACACCTGGCGGTCCACGTGCTCCGGCACGACTGTCCTTAGTGCCAAGTGTAGCCCCTGCTCCTCCGAAGACAATACTGATTTTAACCTCAGCATTCTTGGCCTTTCCTGCCAAATGGTTAGGAATTGCAGGGAGCCGGGTTTTGAGGGTACCAATTTTTTTTTCAATCTTGGGATCTCCTGAGGTCAGTCACCTAAACGGCTGCAGGTGCTGACAGACCTCAGAGAAGAAAGTCCTACTCCTTGACTTCCAGGTCACTGCTCCTGTCAGCAACTCCATCACCCGTTTATTGACTTTGGGCTAATTTCAGCTGACCCAGTACCAATAAAAACTCCCTTTTGCAACATGCAAACTCCCCGGGCTCAAGAGGCCAAAGTCAATTTTATTGATGCATTTACAAAGAGTAGAGCTATAAACAGAGAGGGTTGTGTCCTCGATGTCCCTCACAATCCCCTGGCAACACAAAGGCAGTAGAAAGTAGCAGTTTTCTTACCACACACATTCTCAGAAGAATTTAAGAAAGCAAAATAAAAGCCTAGGATGATGATAAGCAGAAGTAGAGGTGAGGTAGGATGAAAAAACAGACAGTGCTTGTCTCAGAATTACTTTTCTCACCTCTAGCCCTTTGCTCCAACAGCTCTCCTCTGGCACAGGATCAGGGGCCAAGACGGGTATGTAACATAGTGTCAAGGAAGGTGGCTAGGTTGAAATATGCAATCTGTGTCCCGGAGTATGGCTCATAAAGGCATAGTGTGGGGTTGTGATCCAAAAAATGGAGAGCAGAGAAAGGTTTTTTGTGACAGTGAGGCCACAGGATGGGTGAAGGAGTTCAGTGGTTCTGGGGTAAAGATGGCTTCATACCATGCTCTCATGGGGCAACATGAACATGGACACGGTGCCAGGCATTGCTGAGCACACCTCTCAGGTTCCAGATTGGGGCCACAGTGTCTGGCTGCACATTATAGCTGTCATCCACAGCCTTGCAAATAATGTTCAATTCCTTTTGCCCAGCTGGCACAGGGGCTTGCAACTGCCATAGACGCCAAGCCCAGGCCTTTCTGGGACGCTGTTCCTCTTCATCCAACTCAGCTGCCTGCCAGGTTAGCCCCCCATCCAGAGACACATCAACCCGTATCACAGCCCTGCCACCACCACTCCATGCATAGCCCTTGACAGTCACATCCCCCGACTCTATCGTGTCCCCGGCCTGAGGCTCTGTGATGGCCGACTGGACAGGGAGTTCTTGAATAGATGGAGCTGAGTCAAAATCTACAGTGTCCCAGTCCACAGATGGACAGAAGCCTTTATAATCTCGCCGCTGCCAGTGGCTGTAACTTTCCTCTCCCTCCACACTCACTCTGCCCAGCCATTTGACATGGCGAGCACCTACCACACCAGGAACCACCACCCGCACAGGGAAGCCATGGTCACGAGGCAGAGGCTGCCCGTTCATCTCATATGCCAGCAGGACCTCAGCCTCAGGATCCAAGGCCCGAGTGAGAGGGATAGATGCTCCATAGGCAGTCCCAGTGGGGTCAGAGTCTAGTCCTTCAAAGCAGACCTGGGCCTCAGTGTCAGACAGCTGGTGACCAGCCTGGGCTAACACTTCACAGAGCCGTGCCCCAGCCCAGTGTGCAGTGCTGATGGCCCCCGTCCTCCACTCCAGACCTTTTACTTCCTTGATCTGAGTCATCTCAGAACGCCGGTTGCCGGCACACTGCAGAGTGACTGTGATTTCATGTTTGGGAAACTTGTACAAGTCATCCAGGGATAGGCACAATGACTGATATCCAGGTGCCCCTGCTACATGCAAGCGATAGGTATCGGGGTCCAGGTTAGGTACAGGCAGATGGTTCCGGATGAAGAAGATAGGGTTGGGTGTGATGTAGCTTTCTGTCAGCAGCTCAGGGGGAGGCTCTGCATTAAAGGGGCGTTGGCTGTTGACCTTCAGGGCTGGGTGACGCTTAGGATCACCAGCATAAGGGTCAGAAGTCTCCAAGGTTGGAGACACATTATCTTCAGGGTTCAGCTCCCCAATCTTGTACTTGGTCAGTAACTCACATACATGAGGCTGGTTGTGAGCAGCATAGAGGGCCCAGAAAGGCTCTAGGGGTCCCCCAGCTGCTAGCATCAGCTTTGAGGGACCTCCTGGATGTAGATCCACAAATTCTGTGACATCAAAGACTTCACAGCCCAGAGTTACCCAGATCCCAGTCTCAGGGCTGTTGTGGGAACTGACTTCCTCCTTAGTGTACATGCGTGGTGACTCCTGAGCAGCCTATAGGCAGGATAGAGGTAAGGCAAAAGGGAGTAGAATATTAAGAAATCACTCTAGATGGGAAGAAATTTCAAATGAGAAAGGGTACAAGGGAGGGGGAAAGGAAAGAAGGGACAAAGAAAAAAAGAATAGAAGGAAAAACTGGAAATAGGCTGGGTGTGGTGGCGCATGCCTGTAATCCCAGCACTTGGGAGGCTGAGGCAGGAGGCCAGCCTGGGCTACTAGTGAGTTCAAGACCAGCCAAAACTACATAGTGAGACCCTGCCCGCCCCTCCACTGGCAAAAAAAAAAGCTTTTGTAAATAAGGAAGGGAAGAGGTCTGGAAGGGAGGGGAGGGTAATGGAAAAAAAAAGGCAAGAAGGCCGGGGATTTAGCTCAGTTGTCCCTGCGTTGGAAGCGCAAGGTCCTGAGTTTGATCCCCGGTACCAAAAAAAAAATAATAATAATAATTAATTAATTAAAAAGAAGCGAGATATATCACATGTACAGGTACAAATTCCCTATGATGAATGTTATCATATATATCTAAAATGTACTAATACATTGATGTCATCATATTGTGCACCTAAAATGTACCAATAAACTTAATTTTAAAAATGTACCAATAAATGTTTTGCTTCCAAAAAATCACTCTAGCTCACTCTGACCCAATCCACAGTCTTAGCCACTAGAAAATTAAGGTGGTAGACAGCATCTCCACTGTGCATGAAAACAGTGCCACCACAGTTTCTGTAGTAACAGCAAGAATGTGGGTCCCAGGGGTTGCCGGGGGAGCTCATTAGAACCCCTTTGTGCCGATAGTGAAGCCCCTACCCTACTTACCCTACATCGATGATCATGATAGGCTAACACTGCACCAAGGCCTAGCAGGGTCCCCATGGCTTTCCATCTTCTAGTGCTAGAGTTATCAGAGAAGCTGGGGCTGGGGTGCTGGGGCTGAAGTGAATCATTTGTAGAGCAGGCCCGAATGCAGAGCCTGGAGGGAGTCATTCTGAGTCTGGAAGAAAGAGATCTTAGTAGGGCATGTGAAAGTGCCAGTAACAGTCTGGGGTCTGCCTCTCCCTGTTTGGTCACCGTTCCTTCAGTTGGAATTTAGTTTCTCCAGAGATGGGTGGGATAAGTGGAGTATGTTTTTTTTTTCCTCCTAGGCAACCTCTCAACTATCTTTTATCTGGAAGATAAGATAACTATCTGGCAGATAAGATAGTTATCTGGGAGATAAGTGTAGGATTAGAGTCCAGCTGGGGATGCCCTACCTGCAGGCCTGTTGAAGCCCAAGGACCACAGGTCTGTGCAGCAGCAGCAACATTGTGGCTGGCCTGTGCGAGGAAGACCAAGATCAAAATGAGACCCCTGTGAGGAGTGCTTAGGGAGGATTGAGAGAACGGGTGGGAGGAAGGAGCTGTCTGGGCAAGGGTAAGGGTCCAAACGGACAGATCCACTTCAGAGACAAAGAAGTCTCTGAAACTGGCAGGATGGAAAGGAAAGAGGGGTGGGTGCTTCTAGAATACCCACCTCCCATCCTCTACTCTATTTTGTCCACTACAGAGAACAATACCAAGGCCAAGGGCCCACAGGGCAGAAGCCAAATGTCTACTATCCAGTTTGGCAGTTCATTTATTTTGTGGTGTTCAGATTGAACCCAAGGCCTTGTGAATGGTAGGCAAGCTGTACCCCTGTCCTGCCCGTTTGGTTGGTAATTATTTCGGAAGTCAGCGGAGGACAACGAGGGTCAGACTGATGTAAATGAGGGCAAAAAGGCAAGAAAGAGCCGGGGATTTAGCTCTGTGGTTTCCCCACCTGCTGCGCAAAAGCAAGGACCTGAGTTAGATCCCCATACTGGCTCCTCACCCCCCCACCCCCGAAAAAAAAAAAAGGCAAGAAAGGCAGTATCAGCCTAATGAGGTGACACTAGCTGGAGTTTGTGAAACCCAGGCCTGCTGTTAACTAGTTCTCTATGCAGTAGAACTAATATGAAGAGTAAACAAGCAATAATGTTGTCATTGAAGGACTTTCCCCTTATCTCCCTCCATTTCCCCCAACAGATGACTTCAGCTGGGAACTGGACACCAATTCCAGGTCCCCACCTTAATTTCTATGCCTTCCAGTGAGCTTGGCAAATTTCGGAGTCAATGGCCAGGGTGTCAGGCTGGAAAGGGAAGTTAATTTTTCAGCTCTCTGTCCCGAAGCACTTGTCTTCCTCACAGCGCTGTGCCTCTAGCTGACCAATGATCCACCACTGATCAAGGTGGGGAGGCGTAAGATGTGTCCCAACTGCTGATGAAGATGCTGGGGACCAAGAGCGAGGGTGGTCACGGATCCGAAGGCAGAGAAACCGCCGTGGATGGGGAGTCTACTCTTTATGATTGATCAATCCCTGGGCCATGGAACCCTCGATCTCCTGGCACTTACCCTCAATTCCAGCAGCCTGCTGGGACCAGAATGGAGTCCCAGGTCTGGGAGGGGTGGCCTTCTGCTGTAACACAGAAATACCACTTCTTGGTGCGGGTGGTGGCTTCTCACTCCCCAGGGGCGCTTTAGGTAGGAAGATATGTCCAGCATTCGGGCAGAGTAGCAGGCCCTATGCCACTGCCTAGCAGATAGCACAGGGGGTCTTGGAGCAACACTCCGCAACCCCAAGGGCGCTCTGGCATGGGGAGCCGAGGCACTGCTACTTTTATTACACCTAAGCTTCGGAGCCCTGCAGGGTTCGGAGCCCTCCCGGCCTCCCCGCCACAGCCCCCCTTACCCAGCTCCTCGTCCGTGCCTCGTCGAAACCCTGCGGCTCCGGTAAGCACTGGGGGGGGGGGGGTAGGCGGGGCGGCGGCGTGACGCGCTGGGTTTCTAAAGGCGGCCTCCGCCCCTGTGCCGTCCCCTAGCTATTGGCCCGCGGCTTCTCTGCTGCTTGGCTGCCTGCTGGAGGGCTGCCCAGAGAGGCGGGTTGCCAAGAGGGCTGGGGGAGAGGCTGGCCGCGTTGTTGCTTCTCCCACCTCACAGCTGTCGACTGGAGTCGATCACAGCCCGCTGGGCAAGAAATGGGACCCTCAGTGATGTCCAGAGACGGGCAGCGTTGACTAGTGCTGGTCAGCCCTTGGGCTGAAGCTCCGCCCCGCCTGGCAGCTAGGGGTCTGGGCGGAGAAAGAACTCACCCCTCCCCCTCCCCCACCCCAAGGCCTCAGGACCCAGAGGCATCTCCCGGCGCCCCTACTGTTTGATACTGGGTCTCGCTGTGTAATTCAGGCTACTCTGGAACTCACTATGGAGCCCAGGCTGGCCTTGAATTCGCTGCAATCCTCCTGCCTCAGCCTCCGGAGAGTTGGGATTACAGGCGTGCACCACGACACCCTACTATGCTCTACTGTTTTTGACAAGTGTCTGGGCTGCAACTACAATCCTGGTCTGTTTTAGGGAAAGCAAGGTCACTCGCTTCTCTTATATCCTGGAATGAAAGCAGAAATGTGCCTAAAATAGCGATTCCAAGACTTCAGCATTATGTGGGCTAGTTGAATTTGGAACCAACAACAAGGAACCTTTTAAATTTTGCGTGGTCAATTAAAAATTATTGCACTTTAACAAAAGCAATAGCAGTTTAACATCCAAAAGTACGACTATAGTTTTATTGTAAATTTAAGGACACTAACAATAAATTTGCTATTACCCTTTTATCATTTGCGCAGTAGAAATTCGTGAAACCTAGTTCTGCACCTGAGACAATCGTGTCCATACACTGCCCTCTGGAGGCCAGAGGGTCGAGCTACAGTCAATCAATTTAAACCAAGGTCTTCGCCTTTTAAATTTGGAAAATCACGTATACTGTACCTTCCCTTTCTAGGGAGCACTTTCACCAGGAATCAAGGATTCGAGGGTGAGGGTGGGGGATGTACTAAGAAACAGAAGGAAAGCGGAACTGACAGCAAAAACTTGATTTTGGCTCTGAACTTTTTGGAAATAGGTTTCTAACCTGTGCATAATTAATCACTAGAAAGACCTGAAAGCCCAACCTATCCTATCTATTGAAAAAAAAAAGTTTCAACCCAAGGAAAATATAGAGAATTTAGGGACTATCTAGAAGCCACAGGGGAAGACTCTTTCTTATGCATGCTCCTTTACATTTCATTTTACAGAGGAAGAAACTGAGGCATAGAGAACTAAGTACCTTGATCAAGGACACAGCTGCTAAGTTAGTAGAACTGGGACCGGAATGCAAGGTCTGCTGGGCATCAAATTTCCTTAAGATTCTTTTCTTTTTTTTTTTTTTAGGACACATTCTCACTATACAAGCTGGCCCTGAATCTATTATGTAGCCCAGGCTGGCCTCAAACTCAGGATCCTCCTGCCTCAGCCTCCCCAGTGGTAGATTACAGGTGTGTGTGCCACTGTGCCTAGATGATTCTTTGGAATTTAAAACTCTGACTGCAAACGTACCTATTTTTTTCCTTTTATCCTTCCATCCCTTTCCCTTTAGATTGTGATGAACTGAAGGGGTTCTAGTAGGAGTTGAAAGTAAATCGGGGGGGGGGGAATTTCTGTTGAGGCTTAATCCACATGATCAATCAATAAAGCTAATTCAGTGATTTCGCTTTCTTTCTTTTTGAGATATGGTTTTGCTAAATTGTCTGGGCTGGGCTTGAACTTGTAATCCTCTGGTCTCAGCCTCCCGAGATGCTAGGATTACAGGCATGTGCCACTGTGCCACAGTACCATTTTTTTTTTTGTCTTTTGGTACCAGGGACTGAACTCAAGACCTTGAGCTTGTGAGGCAGGCAGTGGAACCACTGAGCTAAATTCCCTGTGACAGTACCTATTTTTATTTTTTTTGGTACTGGGGATCGAACTTGGGTACTTGCGCTTGCGCAACAGGCGGCGAAATCACTGAGCTAAATCCCTGGCCCTAGTACCTATTTTTAAAACCTTGGGGTCATGGATCCTTTGAGAAACTGTTACAGCAACAGACCTTTAAAAAGTACACATAAGGGCTGGGGATTTAGCTCAGTGGTTTCAGTGCCTGCCTCGCAAGCACAAGGTCCCGAGTTCGATCTCTGGTACCAAAAAAAAAAAAAAGTACACATAAATTTTTGTACACTACCCCAAACAATTCACAAATGTCACTTTTCCCTCTAGTCTCATCAGTGGGCTGAGATCCAGACCACCCCTCCACACCTATATACATTCTACTGAGGGCCTAAAAAGAGAAAATCAGGGTCAGATATGAGAAACTATGTGGTTTTTTGAATGGGGTGATTGATTCAACAGGAAACAAAGAGCTACTTTCCCAACTGAATTCTTCCACTAGTCAAGAAAAAGATTAACACGTTCACGATGGGGCCATAATTTGTATGTCTTGCTGCTCACATTAGTAAAAAGACTCATAAAAGTGATTGGATCCATTTGTTCCACCAGTGGTTCAGGCCACCTGATGGGACAGTCATGCATGTACCACTAGTGGCTCAAGCCAGCGGGAATGTGTTAAAGGGAATAAGGAGGTACCAAGATGCAGGGGAACATATGTTTCTGGTTTCTAGTATCAAGTAGATAGCAAAAAACAAACCAACACTCCAATGCACTTTTCTTTTCTTTTTTTTACTTACATTAAATACATCGGTAAATCAGCAGTCGCATTCTGTTACCACGATTGTTATGTTGGGGAAGAAGGGGAAAGGCAAATGGTTTCTTAGAAGAAAAAACAGAAAAAAGATATCCCTCCTCCCCTAAAACAAAACAAAAAAAATGATCAGAAGAAAAAAGATGAAGAGCTAAGAAATTTAAAACTGAGATCCTCAAGCCCAAAAGAGCTCAAAGTAGGGCAGAAAAGCTGGTAGAAGTAGAGGGAAGGCAGCAAGATAGCCCTGGAAGCTAAGGCCAATACTGCTGTAAGGAGCGAGAGAAGGGAAAAGCCTGGGGAAATGGTTCCCCAGCCCCAGGGCAGTGAAATATCTTCACTCCTGCTCCATGTGGAAGGCTACACACAGAAGGAATTTCATTTCTAAAAGACTTAAAGAGCCATCTTAGCCCTTCCACTTGTAAGAAGAATGCACCAGGTGCTTTGGGGGAGGGATAATGGGTTCTGGGAAAAGAAGGGAAAATCTATGTTGTTTCAGGGCCATGGGAACTAAGGCTGCCCCTGGAAAAGGAAGGGAATTGTGGCCCAAGTGGAAGAACCTAAGCTGGGTCCTTCACAATCCCAGCCTCATATGGATTTCTTAGCTGCTCTGGGACAGAAGGCATTCTGCAAGTCAAAGGGCAGAAAGGTTCCAATCCTACTTACTATGACCTTTCCTGTCTGTCTTCCCCCAAATTCCTCAAAACTCTGAGCTGGAACAAGAAGGAATTTAAAGAGTTCTCTCTTGCTGTGATGGTTTCCTACAGACATCCTAAAACACCTGATAAGAGATGTGAACAGAGGCTAGAGATTTTAGAAGGACCAAGGTCCTCTGATGACATGAGACAGTTGTGAGGTACCCTCGGTGCTAGTCACTTTCTGTCACAGCAACAGGTGATATGATTCAAGGGAGCCAACGTCAGGCCTCTTGGTACTAGCCCCTAGTGATATACTGGTTGCATGGGAGGGTAGGTATGGGGATAAGGATGGAAGAACTATAGTCAAGATACTAATAAAGGAGAAAAGAAAGAGGGCCTGATGGGAGGCAGGGGGTAGAACAGACTATACAGTGAGAATAAAGATTATATCTATTTACAGGGAAGTAAAAAAGTATGGTAATGGATAGCAAATTGAATGTGAACCCTGGGGCCAGAAAACTCTTCTCTTTTGTCTGATTTCTCTTTACTTCCCTACCTTGGCCTATGCTATCCTAAGGCCACTCCCCAGTCGCTCAGTTAATTCTCCAGAAAGGCAAAACCTATATGTAAGAGTGAGGTTGGCAAGAAGAAAAATCAAGAATTAGACTTGGAGGAGGAAGCTAGCAGTGGAGACTGTGCTTGAGTAGCTGCCACTGGAGCTGTTCTCTGTAGCCCCCCATCCCCAACCTTATACCTCAGATACTAATTAAAAAGGTGAGAGGGCAGGTAAATCAATCAGAAGCCCCATAAAACAAGTATCCTGATTGAACTGCCATCAATTAAAGTGCGAACTGCAGGGAGCTATGGAGGGTGGGGTTGAGGACACCTACAGGCCAGAGATGAGGGGTGCATATGTATCATCCGAGGAGAGGAGGGGTATCAGAAACCAGCCCCTCCTCCAATCAGAGCTCGGCAGAGCCGAAGGTGCAGGCAACCAGTGAAGATTCCTTGGAGGACTCCAGACTCCAATCCCCACTCTAGGGAAGAAGCTACCTAAGAGGATGGGTGTGGAAAACTGGGCCTTGGCAGAGTTCCAGAGCCACAGATGAGCCTGCACCTCTGCCTCTGTTCAGCCAGCTAACAATATGACTCTCACAGTGTTCCTGAGACCTTGCCTCCCAGTTGTCACCTCTCCCTAGGAAAACCCTCCACAAGGCCAACTCACGGATACTGCAGTGGTTTCAAATATGAGAAACTCCAACCAAATGAAAACAAAGAGGGAGGAACTTTCCTTCCTCTCCTGCTCTGAGCCTTATGCTTCCCCAGGGCCCATAATCCACTGAACTCTACTAACCTCCCTTCTCAGTTTTTGGGTTCACCACCTTCTCCATCCTGGGAGGAGGAAAGGAGGATCATGAACAAAGATTGACCAGGGGCCAGGGATTTAGCTCGGTGGTTCCCGCTCCTGCCTGGAAAGCGCAAGGTCAGAGTTCAATCCCCGGTACCAAAACAAAAACAAAAACAAAGATTGACCAAAAGCAGAAAGCAGGGGAGGGCCAGGAGACAAAAAATGTTTTCTGAAAAAATGGGGAAGAACACAGGGGAGGAAGAGGAAAGATAAGTAGGTCACTGTCTTGCACCTATAATACAAAGTGAAGAAAGTTTGTTTTGGAAGGTAAGTCCTGGGGAAATTTGACCCCCGAACCCCCAAGGAGAGGGTAGGAGGCCAGTGGCAACAGCTGCCTGGTGTTGGTTGCTGAAGCGTTAAAAAGTGCCATGACAGAGCTGGCAGGAGGCAGCCCTTGGGAGCCAGGGCTCAGTGTGCTGTTACCATAGGGGCTGTGTGCTGAGGGGTGGGGATGGAGGTTATGTCTTAGCTCTCGTGCTAGCTCCATACTTGTTTGCTGCTAGCCATCCCCTCAGTTGCTACAACATTGGCTCTTGTTCTGCTGGGACTGCTCATGGAGATCCACGCCTCGGCTTCGGCCTGCCACACCCCCCAGATTCTGGGGTTCACTCTTTGGCAACTTCTTAGCTAAAGATAAAAAGAGAAGGGAACTAAGTATGGAAGGTTTTATTCAATCTCCCTCCCCCGAACAAGCACACAAAGACTACCGGAACAGGTAAAGTAGTGGGAAAGGTGAGAAAAATAGAAGAAATGTTCTGAAGCGGGGAGCATTCACTGCTTGCAAACTACGCTGAACACAAGGGGCCATTACCATAGAAAGGTAAGGTATTTCCACAACCCACTATGTAGCCCAGACTGGCCTTGAATGGCAATTCTCCTGCCTCAGCCTCCCCAATGCTGGGATTACAGGCATGTGCCACCATACTCAGGCAGAAGTAGCTTTTTTTGGTACTGTAAGTCCCCGATTTATGAACATTTGAGCTGCGAACTTCCAGATACAAATGGACCTTGCATTACAAACATTCATAGATGCAAACAAATGCAGAAGTAACTCACCCTAACCCTGTACCACCATTTTAAGGTAACTGTAAAAGTAAAAATAGTTTATTTACAGTATTTCTGTGTTTAGTTTTTTATGCTTTACATTGTGTATCTGTGTCAAAGGTGTATGAGACTTACTTTGTCGGACTTATGAACATATTCGACTTACAAACATTCTCCCAGAACACAACTTATTCATAAGTCAGGGACTTACTGTATTAGGGATCAAACCCAAAGGTGATCTACCACTGAGCTACATCCCCAGACTGACTGACACTCCCTCTCTCCATCTTAGAGGGCACTGGGGATGGAAACCAGGGCCTTTGCACTGAGCTACATCACCAGCTGTTTTGTATTTTTGAGACAGGGTCTCAATAATCACTGTTAATGATGCTCCTGGCTCAGCTTCCCTGGGATTACAGGCATGTACCATCATGCCTGGTGTTTTTTTTTTTTTTGAGATAGGGTCTCACTATGTAGTTCAGGCTAGCCTCGAACTCAGGGGAATTCTCTTGCCTCAGCCTCTAAAGTGCTGGGATTACAGCCATGTGCCACCATGCCCAGCTCTGACTGTTCCCCCCCGACCCGCTGTACCGGGGATCAAACTCAGGACTTTGCGCTTATGAGGCAAGCATGGTGCCACTGAGCTAAATCCCCAGCCCTGACTTGTTCTTTTTGTGGTGCTGGAGATTAAAGCCACAGACCTATTAGGCAAGCACTCTTCCACTGTGTTATACCCCCAGCCCCATATCTTGTAAAAGTTTTTACAAAAGGAGACACTTCTGCTTATTCTTTTTTTTTTTCTTTTTCTTTTTTTGGTACTGGGGATCAAACTTGGGACCTTGCTCTTGCGAGGTAGGTGTCAGAACCACTGAGCTAAATCCCCAGCCCACTCCTGCCTATTCTTTTTTTTGGTACCGGGGATCAAACTTGGGACCTTTTGCTTATGAGGCAGGTGGCGGAACCCACTGAGCTAAATCCCCGGCCCCTCCTGCCTATTCTTGATTTAGGTTAGTAATGAATAATTTTACCTATTGACAAGGGAAAGACAGGAAGACTTTAGGCTGCTTTGACCTTACCTATTGCCAGGAAGAGATCATTCACGTTCATGGCTGTCTTGGCTGAAGTCTCCATAAACAATAAGCTGTTGTCATCTGCATATGCTTGGGCCTCCTGCAAGGAGTGGAGTGTATCGGTGCTCAGAAGGTAGAAGGGAGTAAGTGCTGCTTTTCCATTCCCATGTATAACCAGGGCTAGGCAATTTTCTAGGTTCCCTCCCCTTAATGAATGCCCCTTTGAGCCAAGTGACCCTTAGACCCATAATTTTTTTTTTTTTTTTGGTACCAGGGATTGAACTCAGGACCTTGCGCTAGCAAGGCAGGCACTGGAACCACTGAGCTAAATCCCCGGCCCCTTAGACCCATAATTTTGTGATGACTTCCTTAAGATAAACCCATGTCCACTCAGATCAACAAAAGATGTCAGGAATCTTAAGTATGAGGGAAAGGGTAAGGACTTTTGGGTTCTGATACTTGACTAGCCCCTTAATTCAGTTTTGTTTTGTTTTTTGGATAACGGGGATCAAACTCAGGATCTTGCGCTTGTGGGGCAGGTGAGGTGCCACTGAGCTAAATCCCCAGCCCTTAACTCAGTTAAAAATAAAATGGGGGCAACCCACTTCCCAGTCCTCCTTCTGTCTCCCTGAGAAGCTTGCTTTCTCTCAATACATTTTTCCTACTCTTAACCTCCATTGTTCCTAGAATTCATTCTTCCATTTTAGAGAACACAAACTCGCATTTTGGATATCTAGTAGGTTTGGGAGCTACAAATCTTCCCCCTATATCATTTTGGAGGTCTTCCACTGAGATTGCTGGTCGGAGCTTGGACTTTGGTCTTTCCAGTATTGAATCTACAGTGTCTAGAAGAATACTAGGCACACTTTATTTATACAAAGTAAGTGTTTGTGTTTTAAAAGAAAAAAACCTAAAAAAAACAAAAACAAAAAACAAACTAACAGTAGTAGGGATCTAACCTAGGAACATTTTACCACTGAGCTTCATTCCTAGCCCATTTTATTTTTTATTTATTTATTTTTTGTGGAACCAGGGATTGAACTCAGGACCTTGTGCTTGCCAGGCAGGCATGGCACCACTGAGCTACATCCCTAGCCCGCCCATTTTATTTTTTGAGACAGGATCTCCCTAAGTTGCTCGGGCTGGCCTTGAATTTGCTATCTGGCTGCCTCAACCTCTTAAGTTTGAGGTTACACATGTGTGCCACTGTGCCTGGCTCCTTAACTCAAATTTAATTGCCCCCTCCTTCCTATTTTCACACTGCTACCCCAACAACTGGTTGTTCTACCCCACTATTCTGAGATTTTCTTTTGACGCCTTTAAAATCTCCTGGCTGTCATTAGGTCACAGTGTTGCAGTATTTAACATGGTTAGGAACTAAAGAATGAGACAATGAATGTTGTAAGATGAGGTCTTCAGAGAGGGCTGGCTTGGAAAAAGAGGTGCATAGAAGGAGTGTGTTACAGGGGCACTCTGTGCGCCATCTTACCTCATAGTCCACCATGCGTTTGTTGGCCAGGTCAGCTTTGTTCCCGGCCAGGGCAATGACAATGCTGGGACTGGCTTGCCGCTGTAGTTCCTTCACCCATGTCTTTGCTCGGGCAAAGGTTTCCTAGGAAAACATGAGAAAGACAAGGTGTGGGCTGGAATGACTGCCAGTGCACAGCCATCACCTTCAAAAGCCAGTCTCACATCCATCTCTTCTAGTGTCCTTCCCTCACTAAACCATGGGTCTCTGATAATTCATTACCGGTCTTCTTAGAACCTGGAAGCATAATGTGCACGGCTATTTTGCTATTTCAAGAACCTGTTTCCTCTCCCCTACCTACCAATTTTTTTTTTTGCTTTTGGAGACAGGGTCTTGCTATGCAGTTCAGGCTAGATTGAACTTACTATGTAGCCCAGACTGGCCTCAAACTCATAATGATCCTCCTGCCTCAGCCGTCCAAATGCTGGGATTATAGGCATGCACCACCACATTGGGCTCTTCCCCCACCAAATTTAATTCCTATAAATAAAAGGACAGTCTTCTCAGCCTTCTTACCTGATTAGTAATATCATAAACCACAATTGCAGCTTGGGCACCCCTGTAGTACATGGGGGCTAAACTGTGGTATCGTTCCTGCCCAGCTGTGTCCCAGATCTCAAACTTTACTGTTGTATCATCTAGACAAACGGACTGGGTAAGGAAGGCCGCTACAGATAAAAGAAGGAAAAGAAGTTGTAAGCAGGAGGGTGAATGGCAACATCCCACCCCCTCCAAAATATCTCCACTCTCAGTCTAAGAATAGTCACCACCCAAGCCATTCAGCTGTGTTCTCCTTACATATACATCCTGGAACCAGGATTGAGTTCCTTTGGCCAACTCTTTCCTGCCCAAAACTTTCTATGGCTAAGGATGGAAGCATACCATAAACCAACTTTTATCTGCTCAAGATGAAACTCAACAGAACTTTACTGAGATTATGATAATAGACCAGGAAGAGAAAGGCAGACATGAAAAATGAGTGATTTTCTTGAGGTACCAAGATCAATTTCTTTTAGAAAGCAAAGAAGGGCCGGGGATTTAGCTCAGTGGTTCTGCCACCTGCCTTGCAAGTGCAAGGTCCTGAGTTAGATCCCTGGTACCAAAAAAAAAAAAAAAAAGGTACAAGAAAGCAAAAGAGATGAACATATATCTGATTTTCGGCCTTATGACAATTCTTTCTTTGTTATTTATAAAGGGCCTCTATTCCTGGGGGAATAAGTAGAGCTCAGAGGCCAATTCCATAATTAGGTCTTAGATCTCCCTTCCAAAGCCCCAATAAGCATTGAATCTCTTCTTTCTGAGGTACTCACCTCCAATGGTACTCTCCTGGTATTCATGGAACTGACCTTTGACAAAACGTAATACCAGGCTAGACTTTCCCACTGCAGATTCTCCCAGCAAGACCAATTTGAACTGGCATATCTTGCTGGCCTGGGGCTGCCCATTGGGCCTGGCTGTGCTTCTGCTTGTCATGGCCAGATGCTGAGTGGGAAAGGGTGGAGGGAGGGGGGTGCCACAAAGCGGCAAAGGGGGGAGGGGGGAGGGGAGGGGACTTCCAGGCTTCAACAGTCCTGTAAGAACAAAAGCAGGTAAAATTAGACAACAGGTCTTATTTCAGTTGTAATCACTTGTTAGAGAAGGGACAAAATCTCTTCATTTCCTTGCTCCTATAAGGACTGCACTCCTGTAATCATCCACTATTAAAAGGTTACACCTCTGAGAAGGTCTCAGGAAGCTGACATTCAGTGTTAAGAATGGGGACAGTAAAATAAGAACTGCTTCTGAAATAGAGCTTGCTCTACCACAAAGTCTCTAACTGCCAAGGGAGCTAAAATGGAGCAACTGAAAAGTTTTTAACCTCTCATTAGTTCCCCACCAGGTCTTCAGGTTTTTTTGAATTACACCAAGTTGATCTACATTTAGTTGCCCTAAAGAATACCAGATCCACTCACAGGCACCCTAGGGAACCAGCGTCTCTCCTTGGTATATTGATGCTGTGCTTTTTTCTAGTGCTTAAAATAAGGGATCCACTCTAACACTGTGGGATAAGAGTCACCCCTCCTATAGGTAGAGGGGTAGTTTCTGGTTCTGTATCCTTTATATATGACTAGTTTTCTTTTCTTTCTTTCTTTTTTGGTACCGGGGATCGAACTCAGGTCTTTGCGCTTGCGTAGCAGGCGGCAAAACCACTGAGCTAAATCTTCGGCCCTCTTTTTCTTTTCTTTTTTTTTTTTTGAGGCAGGGTCTTACTGTATAGTCCAGGCTGGCCTTGAACTATGTTGTTCAGGTGTACACCACCATGCCCAGCCAAGTCTTTCACTAAAAAAAAATTTTTTTTTTCTTTTTTGAGATAAGGTCTCAAAAAATACGATGAAATGGAAAAATAAAAAATACTCACTATGTAGTCCAGGGTGGCCTTGAACTCACTATGTACTCTAGGCTGGCCTTGAACTCAAAGTGATCCTCCTGCCTCAGGTGCCTAAGTGCTGGGATTACAAGTGTGTGCCACTACCCCCAGCTTGAGATTTTATGTTTTGGGTTTTTTTTTTGGGTACTGGGGATCGAACATGGGACCTTGAGCTTGCGAGACAAGTGGCAGAACCACTGAGCTAAATCCCTGGCCCTATTTTTTGTTTTTTTGTTTTTGGTACCAGGGATTGAACTCAGGACCTTGCACTTTCGAGGCAGGCGGTGGCACCACTGAGCTAAATCCCCGGCCCCTGCTTAAGATTTTAATCAACCACACTTGAATAAATTTTTTTTTTTTTGGAACCGGGGATTGAACTCTGGTCCTTGTGCTTGCGCAGCAGGTGGTGAAATCACTGAGCTAAATCCCCTGGCCCTAAAAATTTACAAGGTTTTTTTAACTTTCCAATTTTTTTTTTTTTGGTACCAGGGATCGAACTCAGAACCTTGGGCTCGCAAGGAAGGCACGGTGCCACTGAGCTAAGTCCCCGGCCCTTGAATAAATTTTTTAATCCTGACAGTGAGGAAAAAGTAAGGAACTACAGTGGACCCTCAAGTTATGACTGGTCTGACATATGAATAACTTGGGTTAAGTTAATGACAGATTCATGTGATTCTTGTTATCTATAGCGTGTACTCACGTAAACATCCAAATCTCAGCTGTACTGATGTACAAACAACTTGAGACACAACCAGCCCTCAGGAACCGATTTGAGTTCATAAGTCAAGGCTCTACTGTATGAAATTTAGAGAAATTAGCCTATACATAGCATACAAGAACCTCTCTCTAAAGCCTAAGAATGCCTAAGTTATATTTTGCTTATTCAAATTGTTTTTCCTTCTTTAAAGCTGATCTAGTGACTCCAATACATCATATTCTTACATGTGGGGAACAGTTAGCCAATACAATGAGTGACTCTGGCATCACATTAGGTAGGGTTTATAAACTAAGTGATCCTACTTACTACATAGTAAGAGAGAGAACCAAACAGAAGGCAATGCAGAGGAACAAAGGCTCTGGAGTCCAATTCTCTGGTTTGTTTTCCAGTCCTACTTATTGGCTGTAAATTTTGGGGCAAGTTACTGAATATATGGGTGCATTCATTTCCTCATCTGTAAAATGAGGTACTAGTCTTAAAATCATCAGCTGCATAAGGCTGATGTAAAGGATTAAATCAGGTAACGTCTAACAATGTTTTGGGTTTTTTTTGGAAACATGGTCTCACTTTGTAGTCATGGCTGGCTTTGAATTCGCTGTGTAGCCTAGGCTGGTCTCTAGCTCATGGTGATCCTTCTGCCTCAGCCTCCCAAGTGCTGGGATTACAGGTGTGCACCACCAACACCTGGCTCAAATTTAAGTATTTGACATAAACTAAGTGTTCAATGAATATTAATCTATCTAAATCTTAGCTTCCTCCACTGGAAAATGAATAAAAATACTATCCTCACAAAGTAGCTATGGGGATTAAATAAAAGATGCATACATCAGTGTGCTAATAAGAATAGCTAATTACTCTTACTTGGTGGTCCAGCTTTTCTTTTATATCCAGCAAAGATAAACATGAAGTGGAGCCAAGGATGTAGCTCAGCGGTGCAGCACCTTCCCGACAAGCACAAGGCCCTGAATTTGATTCCCAGTACAAAAAACAACAACAACAACAAAAAATTATATCTCATATTCCTAAAAAGCAGCCATGAGATGACAGAAAAAGGAAAAGAGGATAAAAAGGGGTAAAAAGGAAATTAGAAGATTGAGATAGAGGTGCAAACTCAAAAGTCTCAAAGTTGTCTAGATTAATTTAGAGGATGTGACAAATTACTCTGATTCTACTGAGTATTCTATAATCCCCTAGATCAGTGAGCTTTCAATGATACAAACAGCCCTTGGAAGTATGTGTGCCATAGGTTCGCCATCACTGTCCTAGGTTAATGAGTCCTAAGAATTTAGAGACACGTCAACCATTTCGTGATTAAATTTTCACTCATTTATGATGAAAAGATTAAAATGATGTAACAATTTTTTACATTTGATCTTAGCCAAAAGGCCAAGATGCAATAAAAATGTTTCATAAGGCTAAATTTATTCAACTTGTACACCCTTTTAAATTTCTTTTTTTGGTAACCAGGAATCAAACTCAAGACTTTGTGCTTTGTGAGGCAGGCGATGGTACCACTGAGCTAAATCCCCGCCATTGTGTATTCTTTTTATGAGACTTCTTTTTTCCTTTTTAGTTTTATGAGATAGAGTCTCACTATGCAGTTCAGGCCTTGAACTCCTGTGTAACCCAGGCTGGTCTCAAACCTGTGATCCTCCTGCCTCAGCCTCCCAAGTGTTGGGATTACAAGTGTGTGCCAGCAATCCTGGCTCTAACTTCATCTTAATTTTCTCTGGTAGAATAAAATAAAAATAGACGGTTGAAGGTGTGTGCAGGGATGCATGCCTGTAATTCTAGTATTCAGATGATAAATATAAAGCCAGTATAAGCAATTTAGCAAGACTCTTGTCTCAAAATAAAAAATAAAAGGCACTGGTGGGGATGTAGCTCAGTGCAAGGCCCTGGGTTCAATCCACAGTAATGCAAAAACACAGAAACAAAAATTCACATGGTTGCATCCTATTTCTGTAAAGCAAAACTCTGTAGAAAACGGTTTAGAAGGACACACAGTTGCCTATTAACAGTGGTTATTTTTGGGCCAGGGATTTAGCTCAGTGGTTCTGCCGCCTGCCTCACAAGCAGAAGGACCCGAGTTTGATCCCCGGTACCAAAAAAAAAAGTAACAGTGGTTATTTTTAACCTGATGCAGTAATGCATGCCTATAATCCCAGCACTCTGAGAAGCTGAGGCAGGAGGACTGAAAGCTCAGGCCCAGCCTGGGCAACTTAGCAAGACCCTGCCTTGAAATTAAAAATTTAAAAAGGGGTGGGGGTGTAGCTCAATGCAAAGATCCTAGGTTCAATGCCCAGCACTGCCAACCCCCCCCCAAAAAAACCCCAAAAAACAAAAAAACCACAAAACCTAGAAAAGTTACTAGTTTGGGGGGGGGGGGGTTTGGAGACAGAGTCTGGCTATGAAGCCCAGGCTGGTCTCGAACCTGTGGTGATCTTCCTGCCTCAGCCTCCTGGAGTGCTGGGATTATAGACATGTCTCACACCCATCTTAGTTTTTCAATTTATTTTCTTATATCTTTGTCTATTTCAAAGCATGTGACAGCACCTGCTGTGTAAGTGCAAGGTCCCAAGTTCGATCCCTGGTACCAAAAAAAAAAAAAAAAAGCATGTGATCCAAGGGACAGACAACCTCAATGTTATTGTTCTAAGCGTTAGAATGGATTGACTTTTCATGGCCAGACACATTACTCTAAACCTGGCAAACAGCTGGGGGCTACAAGGAGTGTAGAAACAGGAAACAGTCACAGGCACACTTGGGTTGTTACTAACCCCAGAAACAGTCAACAAACTTTCTTGCTACTAAGCAACCTTGGATTGTCAGAGATTAGTAAATAATAGGTTAGAAAAGATTACTACTCACCCCAATATGTAACCTCAAGAATCGACATAAACCCTGATATTTAATCTCATCATGTTGATAAGGGTGTCATTTTTTTTTCATTTTTATTTTTTGTGGTGCTGGGGATTGAACCCAGGGCCTCACACGTACTAGGCAAGTGCTCTACTACTAAGCTTCAGCCTCAAAGGTATTTTTTAATATAAAAGGTAGATTCCCAAAATATCAGAAGTGAACCCATATATATATAGATATAAAGATACAGATGATTCAACTGAAAGCTGGGCAAGTTGACATAACCTATAATACCTGTATTTCCAGCACTTGGGAGGCTGAGGCAGGAGTATGATGAGTTTGAGGCCAGCCCGGGTTATACTGTGAGTTCAAAAGCAGCTTTAAGTACATAGTGAGACCCTGTCTCAAAAAAATAAAAAAAAACCCAAACCAAAGAGTTTCCCCTAATCTTCTATGCGTGTGTGTGTGTGTGTGTGTGTGTGTGTGTGTTTGTTTTAGGGCTGACAGTGGGCAAATGATCCATTCAAAGGCAAAAAAAAATACGTGGGAGGCTGAGGCAGGAGGATCGCTGAGTTCAAGGCCAGCCTGAACTACCTAGTGAGACCCTGTCTCAAAAAAAAGGGAAAAAATAAATAAACCTAAGCAAACCAGTTAAGCAGCGTGATGGTTAATACTTTTAAACTTAAGGCCAAAAGGTAAGCTATTCTTCCTTTCAATCTTTTCAGCTCAGAGAAGAAATTAGATTTACCTCCCATTAGATGTGCAGCTCCACAAGAATGACTTATCAAATGACCCATTAACTGAGGCCTGACCATGAGTTAGTCCACTGAGGGAAGGGTAGAGATGGAGGATGTTGTTTAGTGTGGGCAGTTCTCCAAGTAACACTGGGAAGTAGGCTTAAGAAAAAAATGTTCCTGCCGGGGATTTAGCTCAGTGATTCCACCGCCTGCCTCAAAAGTGCAAGGTCCTGAGTTTGAGCCCCAGTACCAAAAAAAAAAATGTTCCTTAGCCTGCCAATCCCAGCTAGAGCAAGACTCCTTTTCTCAGGCTCCCTTCCACCTGCTAGCTTTGAGTCTTTAAACCAAATCTATATCGGGGTAGGATGTAGCTCAGTGGCACTGAGTCTGCCAGGCAAACGCAAGGTCCTGGGGGTGGAGGGGGTGGTGGGGTACTGGGGTGGGGGTGGTGGTGG